ATCGCGCTGATCTACTCAAGATGCTTGACAAAATATGAACACTGAGATACGGCTAATTCACACAATAGCAGGTTCAAACAAGAATGGAAAAAGTGCAAAAGATATCAGCTTCACAGACTTAGTGAAAATAACAACATGTCAGGAATTAACATCAGGAAGCAATGTTTAGAGCAAGATATCAACATGCTACAGGAACATAACATAGCAACACAAGGCATGGTATGAATCTACTCCAAGCATATAACAAAAGTCCCTTAATGACCATAAGCCAGAAAGGATCAGAAGATAAGATGGCACCCATGTAAACATAGCAAGTTTCGTTAACACATTCAGACTTAGCAGAAAACTGGACATGGCAAATACAGAGTTACGAAGGCACGTTCGCGAGCTCGGTGCACTCACCACAAGGCATTACATGACACACCAAGCATACACCCAGCAAGAAGACATGATCAAGAAGCTAAACATGGCAAGAACAATCTCATAGCATTCATGGATCAACTACAACAACCTTGGCAAAATTGATTAACCCGTAAACAGTCTGCCAGGAACATTTTATAGCAAAAGTAGAGCAAGATTGAGTCATTCTAGGGTACTCCAAAATTGCAAACAAAGACATGGATGGATATAGCATAACCATATGCCCAAATCATCCTTACTGAACATGCTCAGAAGAGGCATGGATCACTCTGTAGCAACATGAATACATGGCATAAAAATAACATCAGGGAAATGACTTGGAAGAATTCTAAGTCCCTGAAATCAGCAACATCACGAGAGCTACTTTGCATGCATGAGCTAGTCACCACATTGATCAAAAAAATACATGGCATACACCCCTGTAAAGATGGCATGGCATAGCCCAAAACACATGTAGAGCTCCTGCTCATATGCAGCACACATTAATCACGGCAAAAATGAAAAAGCTCATAATCTGATAAGAATTAGGAACTAACAGTTTACAACACTCTTGCAACAACATTTTAGGCATCAAGATGGACTCAAACAAGCATGGTGCAATTGAACATATAAAGGATGAGCCAGTGCACCCAACTAGCGGCCGTGGCCACGTCTCCTTTTATTCCCGAGCGCTCTCTTCCTCTCGCCTCCTCCTTCTCTTCCTCTTCCGCTCCCTCCGCGTAGCCCCTCCACCTCCCTCCTCCTTCGACGGCGCCTGGTCCAGATCGGGCTCAGGTCGTCGCCTGGTCCAGATTAGGCTCAGGTCGTCTCCATTGAGAGCAGGGGTGAACAGCGGGAAGCGGTGGGGAGAAGTGAGCGGCAGCCAACAGGGAGAGGCGGAGAGCCATGACATGGTGGACAGCGGGAAGCGGTGGGGAGAAGCGAGCGGCAGTCGACATGGAGAGCCACGACGATGGCCGGCTTCAGCTGCCACTTCCTCCCCTCGTCGGCGCCGCGAGGCCACTGAGCCCACGCCCGAGCTTCCCGTCCGTGAGCAATCGCTTCGCCCACCGGCCGTCCCCATCCGTGTGCTTCTTCTCGGGACGTCGATGCCACGGAGCTCGTCAAGGTGCTCTCTCGTCCCTCTTCACCTCCTCCACGCATCTGTCTCTATTCGATTTGGTCCTCTGATTCAGATTTCTCACACAAGCGGATGGTTGTTGTCCTCTGTTCGTGTTCGCGCTCGTGCAGCTCCCTCTCTGCCGCTACAGGAGGATTGGATTGGATTGGTTTGTACTTGCTCTATTATCTATTTGAGAATCTGAGATGCGGCCCTCCAAATCTTCGGCCCCAGAAGGAGGATTTGAGAGTGGAGAAGGGTCACCTGAATGTGATTTGGAGGAAGGAGTTGTCCAGGAATCAAAATGTTATTATTTTACTATTCTGCAGGGGAGAATCTAAAGATTATTTGTTTCTTTTTATGCCTGCAGATCGTGTTTAGTGTTTGGGATTCACACCCTGCATTGATAAGGTCTGAATTTAACATCCACTTTTAACACTGGGTTCCTCAAGTGTTTCAGTTTGTACTTTGCCGACGTACAATCTATTCGCCACATTTTCTAGCACACTTATTCCAACTGAAGTCAGCTCCTGCTTGCACTTCTCCACTGAGTGAATGCTAATAGTTCTAAAAAGATAAACCACCCATAGAATTGGTTCTAATTAGATCCTCTGAAAGATGCAAGTAGCTAGAGTACCTTAGTCCATAGGAGTCCTGGAATTGGTTCAGAAGTTCTTGAGTAAATTGGATCAGTGAGAATATTAATTGAGTCGCTGCTCAAGAAACAAATTAGAATAACGACAATGTAGCTAATACCATTTGTCCCTGCATGATGTATTTTGATCTCAAATGCATTTATATGGCTTGATTTTTGCAGAGATCTTGTCACCTGCGCCCTTGTTTGGTCGTACATAAAATTGTCATCTTGCTTTAAATTCAAGTGGTCAGGTCTTTGATAGTACGCATGGCTGAACCCACCTTTTGTTGAATTTGGGAACCATCTAATATAGCTATTTTTTAAGAAGGAGCTTGAACAGATCTCAGTATATGTTAATTTTGTAGAAAAAGGAGCCTGACTGACTAGGTAATTCCCAACGAACTGAAGCAGCTAAGCTTGCAGGCATGTGTAGGCATGTGAACTATAAACAGAACCAAGTTCTGCATATATTGTATTTGCAGAAAATGTTTTTGGCCTGTACGGTTCTAACAAATTTGAGGTGATAAATTCTGAACACTAAAAGAATTGGTTTTGTAGGACCAGTTTTCTTGTATGACCTTGCACTACTGTATTGATTTTCTTGTACTTGCATGGTCGGACTAATAATCAGCAAAGTACATTACTAATTCAATAGGACTAATTTATTTGAACTAAAGCCTTAGTATGTATGTTCATAATATGTGCAGATCACCACATGTAGACTATTCATTCCTTGCCAAACCGCACATGCTAGCTAATGTTTGAAGATGACGTTGTAAAAAATGCATAAGCTGGGGATGCCATGGTGATGCTGCTGGTCGAGAAGTACGCATGTACTTCCTCCAGCCCATAATTTCAATTTTATCTTGTTGAATGGCAAATTTATGCTTGGCTAGGTTCGGATTCTGGCGTTTAGTGCATCCGCACTAAACTGATTGCTGGATTTGGTAGGGGGTGATATCATTTCGTTCATGGGTGAACCTGAACACTGATGTAGCTTCCCAGATTCCTCTACGCTCCAGTCATTCATATATTTTGTGATGCCTTAGTTCTATCTTCAGGAATAAATTTAGCATCAACACGGTGATTTGAGAATGCAAACAAGCACAATAGGATCTTCCATGTCAATTGGTATATTTATCTCTCTCCTTTTAGATTCCCTGCTAAATGAAATTTCCAATGACGCTTGATTATGGTACATGCTAAAGAATTAGTGGTGGCATTTGGTTATTTTGTACAGTACTTCTGAACACTAAAAGAATTAGCTTATTCAATTTCTTCCATTGTTGTGCCCGCCACTGATGTTCTCTATGGTTCCCTTGGTTGCAGTTCCCTCCTTACCTGCCAATGCTTCCTCCTGCCTTGCCTGCGTGTGTCCTCACCTTTGTTCATCAATTCGTGTGCAGGTATGGATTGGTGATGTTTTTGACGCCCATAGATCCATTACCTCGTGCATGTGTATTTTGTGTGCCAGTTTACCAGTTAGTGAGTGATAATGTCCGTATGAATGTTTCATCGTTTAGCAAGTGATCGGCAACAGGCATCTCTTACTTTTGGATTGAAGTGCAGATCTTGCTAAAGAGTTGACCATGGAGTCATTTATGTATTCTTATGCCCCAATGCTTCATTAAGTATTCTTATTATGCAATATAAAATTATTTCTTACCGTCTTCTATTGTTTCCTCTGTTTTTCTCAGTTATTCAGAGAACCCCACATGTTACATGAATTCTAGACTACTTTCCTAGAGGTAGTTGTTAGAATCATCTTCTTGAATTTGCCTGCTTAGCATCTAATATTTCACACTCGCCAATTGTAATATCTCATGCTTGCCAATTTTTAGAATCAGGTTCTTGAGTTTGCTTGCTTAACAGTGTCCCTGTGCAATTGCTCACCAACCTCACCAATTGTGAGTTTGTCCCACGTAGTGGAGTTTCTGTGAGTTTTTATAGTCTATAAATTCTTGGAAGTTCTCTTGTTGCTGCTATAATGTGGGTGTGTTCGGCTTCCTTCTTCATTTAAGGTGAATCCTTGCTTCCAGGTTGGCCTATGAAATGATGTAGTTTCTGCTGGAAAATAAGTTGTTATGCAATTATAGTTAGGTTGCCAATTTTCCTTCATAACTGCATTTAATGGTGGCTGTTATGCTCACTTTGCTCAAAGAAAGGTTGTCTAGCCAAGCTACTTTGTGATTTAAGAAATAGGCTGACACCAAATCAGTAATCCCCGACTTCTGCTTTGTTGGCCGAAATTTACTAATTTTGTTTTTCTTGTTATCTTTAGCCATTCCAAAACATTTATCTGGTTCTGTAGAATTACAGACCATAGAATTATAGCTGGCCATATTTTTGAATGCGTGAACCTCACATAGATATCATGCTAATGTAGTTTGACGGACGTTGTAAAACCAATGGATAGGCATCGTCTTCTACTAAGGCTCCTTTCACCCTTCTTTAGAACCCAACAAGCATTCATCAAAAAATTAAAGATCTTGGTTGGTGATTCGTTTCAATGGCCGGTATAGTAAGGCTACATTAATTATCATATTATTTTTCATTTCTTTTTTGCTTGCCCTTGTTTCACAACCTAATACTGATTGATCAGGTACATTGCAATGAGTGCTTACTTATGTTTTGTCTCCTGTTATTTTTTGATTCCAGTCTTCATACTTTCAGACACCTTTGATAATATAGGAAGAAGAAAGTATTCGCTCCAGACGAAGATGTCTAGCTTTCTTGTGTGCTATAACATTAATCAGTGCATCGGGCCCAACATTTTCTATCATTGGAACCTTGATGATTTATATCATTTGAACATAATCTAACCCCTCTGATTTTTGTCAGTACATGATTGTACACCTCCTATGCCCGCTTAATTGTGTGTTCATTTTGTTAATCAAGAAGCATCTGATTTTATGGATGGGTACGCTAAAAACATCTGTGCATAGCGTAATGCTCCAGCATGACCGCTTCATGTGTTGCCTCGAGTCGCGCAGCCACTACGCTCCCGCCGAGGCGGAGGCAGCTGCCACTCTCGACGCCCTCCGTTGCACGCTCTCGCCGGCGGCATTTGCAAAGCCTTGTCACCGCGCTGCAAGTGTTGCCCCCCTCCTCCCCAAGGGCAAGGTGAAGAAAGGTGCCTGTGTGGTTCTTCTGCAGCTCACAGCGAGGATTGTTGTGTCCAACCTGCACAATAATGCCAAGAAGTCCTTGGAGACGTAAGCCACGACGCATGTTTCTGCCATGATTTCCTTCGGTTGGTTTTCGTGGATTTAGGTGTTGAAAAATTATGGGATGTAGATGCAGGATTAAGGACATGTACCTGCACTACAACGAGAGATCTAGGTTGCTTCTTTGTGGCTTCCAAACTTGAAATTTTTGTTTGGAAGTTAGTTTAGTTTTTTGTTGTGGATTCACATCTTCTCACATGTACCATCCTCTTAGACCTTTAGATTTCCAAAAAAACTAAATGAAGATATGGTGGTATGGTCTCAATAGTACAACTTAAAGCCTTGCATTCTTTATATTTTCTCTGAAATTTGGTCTTGAAGAATCATGTATCTATGTTAGATCCGGTGAGAAAGGCGGCTTCCAAGCAAAGGATGGGGGAGTGTTGGCCACATTTGGTTTTTGACTTGGGTGTATAAATATTCTCACAATACTTGGCTCCCTCTCGGCCTTTGCGCCATTGGCGCAATGAGTCATCTAGTGGAATGAAATGAAGAGGACATCCTAACGAACAATTCGATATATCACACGCCCAAAATGGAGCTACCATGACAGAGTTATGATGCGATGAACATGGCTAGAAAATATTAGGGACTTTGGAAAAAACGAGTCAACCTAGGGTTTACTGTAGCTGGATCTGGATCTGGACGGCATGCGAATCGAGGATCGCTGGAGATGGACAAGGACGGCGGCCGGCGAGGTCGGGGTCGCCGGATCCGGCCCTCCCGCGGCTGGATCTGGCCGGAGGTGGAGGAGGAAGGCGCGGGGCGGCGGCCGGAGTTGCGGGCGGCGGCAGTGGCGATCCGCAGCG